TAATTTCGATTAACGAACTGCCTTCCATAAGGATCTTCAATTCGGTTAACGAAAAAAAATTCGGTTAACGAAGTTCTTACGAACCGACCTCAACATGTTTTCGCTTGCACTGACCGGGCAACCAGCTTTAGTATCAGTCCGCCAATACATTAATCGGTTCTAGGGCTTAAATTCCTTACTATTTTAGTAAATATCAAGAAGTTTATACTGTTCAATAATTTCAAAAGTTTAATATTCAATTTTTTAGTCATTTTAACAATTATTGAACATAATTGAAGGTAAAGTGACTAGTTTAATGCGCGGCATCCAGCCTCTTAACACAGCAAACAGGCGTTAGTCCCTCTGTTTTCACTGGAGGTAACATCTTGCTTGAGACTCTCTTCAACTAAACACTTTTTTTCTGTGTTTCCAAGCAAATTATTGGTCATTTTGAAATATATTTTATATATTGACAATATATAATGCAGTGCAGTGTTGATTTAAAGAAAATAATCTTGAATTACACCAGAGAGCTAAAATTTTATGGGTGAAATGGCACCATGGGGTGACTTCTCTTCCACCCCAATGCCTTCTCTTCTTCCTTCTCCTCCACCCCCATTCTAAATCCCATCATCATCATCATCATCCAGGAGCCTTCTACATACACACCTCAAAGTAAGCGAACTTTTCTACCATTTTTGTTGAATTTAGGAACTTTTCGGTGAGCTGGAACCAATTACCCAAAAACCCATTGAAACAATGGTTTTGGTTAACGAACGACCTTCTGGAACGGATTGAGTTCGTTAACGGAGGGGCCACTGTAATAATGAAAAAAAGACAAGGTCCTCTTCATGAGATGGAAAAATTACTTGTGATGTGGATGGTAGATCAGCTGCAAAAGAGTGTACCCTTAAGCCTTCTAACCATATAGGCTAAGGCAAGAAGCCTTTTCAAAAGCCTGAAAGAGCAGGCAGGAGGTGAGTGCGACCAAATCTTCACAGCAAGTCATGGGTGGCTCCAAAGGTTTAAGAAATGTTACAGTTTGCACAGTGTAAAGGTGAGTGGAGAGGCAGCAAGTTGATGTGGGTGCTGCTTTAGCTTTTAAGGAGCTAGGTCTTGTCATCGTGGAGGGAAATTATTGCCTGAGCAAATATTTAATGAGGATGAAACTGGCTTATTCTGGAAGTGCATGCCAGAACGGACATACATCCACAAGAGGTGAAAACCATGCCAGGAATCAAGACATTAAAGGACCGAATCACACTTCTGTTGGGGGGGGGGGGGAATGTAGCTGGTTTCGAGGTAAAACCCTTCATGATATATCATGCAGAGAATCCAAGGGCTTTTAAAAAATGTCAGCAAGTACACACTGCCAGTGTTTTATCGCAGTAATAAGAAAGCATAGATGACCCTCGCACTGTTTGAGGATTAATTCCAGAGTTGTTTCATTCCACGAGCCAAGGAGTATTGTCTGCAACAAGGGATTGCGTTTAAGATTTTATTAATTTTAGATAATACTCCGGGACACCTACCACACCTGGACGACCTGCACCCTGATAAGGTAGTTTACCTTCCACCTAACACTACCTCTATCATCCAACCCATGGATCAAGGTGCTATTGCTGCTTTTAAAGCGTATTATTTACGTACGACCTTCACTCAGGCTATTGCTGCTACTGAAGGTGAGAAAACGCTCAGAGAGTTTAGGAAGAACTACAACATTTTGCAATGTACAAAGATCATAGCTGCAGCATGGGATGAAGTAGAGGTTAGTGCATGAATGGAATATGGAAGAAGGTCCTGAAAAGATTTGTGAACAATTTCAAAGGATTTAATGAAGATGAAGCAATTTCTGAGATTAGTAACAAGATAGTGCAGATTGGTAAACATCTGGAGTTAGAAATTGATAATGAAGATGTTCAGCAGTTGGTGGAAAGTGTATCAGAAGAGCTAAGTAATGAGGATCTTATTGAACTTGAGGCACAGAAAACTGGAGAGGAAGAAGAGACAAAATGTAGAACCTAAACCCACAAAAAGTTTTCAGTGAAACAAATGGCAAAGGCATTTGCTACTTTTAATAAGGGGATGCAAATATTTGAAGAAATGGATCAAAATGTTGACAGACTGATCCAAGATGCACTTGCTTGATACAGGGAGATTTACAATGAAAAGAAAAGGCAAACTGTGCAGTCTAAATTGGACATATTTTTTAAGAAGTCCACCACTGCTACCTCTTCACTCCCCTAAGATGATCCAATACCTTCAACAAGCAGGTATATTAGCTTGTCTGAAGAAAGCGAATTTGATGACCCACCCAGCAGTGTCTCCTCTTCATCCAATTGATGTAGTCTATATGCTTAATTAAAAAATTATTGAGGCCGTGTGCATTCAGCCGACTACATTAAAGGCAAGTGCACAGTAATACTTTACTCATTTTTCATTATTGATAACTTTTACTGTAATATATTTCATTTTTGAATTTCTATGTATTATTTTCGCCTTTTCGACTTACGACCTGGTCGTCAAGTTGAGGAGACTATATATTTACTTTTGTAAAGTTATCTAATCTTCTATCAGTTGAATTCATATACCGTAGTCATGTTTACCATATTTAATGGTGTATCAGTAACTACACTGGAGTACTTTGGCTTGGAATGTTGCAATTCACATTAATCATGGTATTGTCCAAAAAATTTTTGTCTGGTCAGCATACTGTAGTTGCCTGGCAATGTGTCATCATTAGTGACTACTTCTTGGTCACTTGCCTCGTTTCCTGTCTTCTGTTGCTTTTAGTTTTTAAATTTCACTTCATATTTTCATTTAATGATACAATTATGAGTATTGACTGTTAATGTGGATCTCTTTGATGGGCCTTATTCTTTGTGCCAACAATGTTGAATGAAATTTTGTTGTGCAGGTATGTAAAAATTTCCTTCCATGCTCATGTGCTGCAAGTCTTGGGGTTTTGTGGTGGTGGAATGTTTGCGTCCGATCACCCAGCCAGGGGGGTGTCGAAACATTGGATCGTGACTGTACTGTACAGTATTCACCATAATAGCGTTTTTTATTTTTATTTTTCAGGGTTTTCATGCGATTTCTCAGCATTTTTTACATAGTAAGACATCATTCGAATAAATATTTGACAATACCTTAAGCCCCGTCCACACGATCGAGCACTGCCCGACGGGAACTCGCTTAATGCCCGTTGTTTGGGCAAAATTGACGGGCAAACCAATGGAGTGCCCGTGGTCGAACGAAATCACCAGATAAGCCCGTCTGCCTGGTGGTTTGATCGTTTGCTGCGAGAAGTCTATAGAAGGTGTTGGTGTCCATTCTCATGTAGTTAGTGAAGTCTTTCTCAGTGTTCACCTTGCAGTTCACGTAAAATCGTGGCATGACTTCCCTTAACTTTTCGTTGAGATAACCATTCCTTTTGCTTTTTCTTCTTTTTGCACACTGTAGCAATTATTATACACAGCGCTATAGGCTTCGATTTAACTGTCCTGCGACACACCATGGTGATCGTACTGCAGCAGCTACTGCAGACCACCTACTAGCTACCAGCGGCAGTGTGTGACTGCTGCCAACCAGCACCTCTGTGTGTACGACGACAAAGTCCACCGGGCACTGTTCGATTGTGTGACGGGGCTTTAGCCACGAATAACTCGAGAAAAATATCTGCGATTTCTGGTCACACTGCAGGCTCCAAACAGTGAGTGACAGGCTAGTTAAATAAATTTCAGGCAATCCCCAGTGTTAAGAATGCCAAATTCAACTTTGTTAATTTTTGGGGTAATTCACCTAACCCTGGACAATCATTTATACCAGGTTAACCTCTTCAATACAGTACACAGTTTTTAATATTTAAATTTGGCTATTGCCAGATGATTTTATTCAGGTCAGTGGGGACCTTGTACACATGGTCAATACAGTGAATTCTTTGCTGTCAAGAGGATGGGTTTCAGTTTCATATTGCATTATTATTTTTATTTTCATAATAGTACCATTATATTTCTCAGAATTGTTTAACCTGTAAAAATACCGAGGCAAAACAATGCCACTTAGATTACTTCGAGTCTCGTACCAGATATAATTTTTACCCCCCTTCCCCCATGAAACAGTTTTACACTATAACTATGCTTCATTTGTTTTTCTTGTGTTTATTATACTTTACATTTTTGCAACAAAAAGATTAATGTCAATACAAGAAAGTATAACTACTACTGCATAATTTTGTGTAACATAAATTTTGTGCAATATCCCAGTTCCAAATAGAACCATTATCAGTGACTTATTTGTTGTATCACTCTACAATACCCACCACATTAAACCTTATGGCCCGGGTGACGTTCCAGAATGCCCGACTAGCGCATCCTGGGTGACGTTCCAGAACACTCGCCTTTTTCCCCGACTGTTTGCATGCCCGTGGGTTATCAGGTTCCAGTGTGACCATTTGCCTGTCACACCACAGGGAAGCATCCTGAATGTCAATACCTATTTATTTTTTCATTTTCATTGTTTGTCCATTTTATCATGTTGTATCAAAGTAATATTGATAAAAGTAGTGTAGTTGTAATGTAGTGTAGTATTACTGGAACATAATGCTATGATTATGTTTTAAATGTATTTATTTGTGGAATTATTATTTTATGCTTTACTTGCTCTACCAAACACAAAGACAGCCTGCAGACTGACCGAGTGTGTGTTGCCAAGCACTTTTTATGAAAAATAATGCAAATAAAATATTCTAAATTAATTTTTTATAGCAAACAAGTATTATGGTCGGAAAAATATGCATTACTGGCCATCTCGGACACAAAGGCAAGCTAAAAATAGTTGCTAAGTGCTTAAGTGACCATTAGCGCTTGCCATCACAACAAGCCAGGGAAGTTTCCCGAGGGTCAATATATAGCTTGGAAAAATTTATTTTTCTTGATTTACCACTGGGTGGCAAGTACTGCCAACAGCACCCTAGCGATTATAAAGAAAAAAGAACGTACTGTACTGTATAATAAAAATCATTTCTAAATAATCAATTTATTTATGCTGCTTCTTTCTCCTTCAAATCCTTGTTCCTCCTAATAAAGGATCGCACACCAGCAGCAGCGACAGTAGAGTATGTATATGCACCTCCAGCAACTGTGCGACGGCAAGGCTTGCAGGACCAAATACCAGTTGCTTTACGACGCATTGCCTCCTGAAAATGAAAAACAGGATTAATCAAGAGACCAATTATTTGTAACCTGCTTTACAGGCATTAGTCAATACCTGCATGTACTGTACTTACACATCCCTCTTTAAACTACTTGTACAGGAAAAACAATACCCTGTAGTAATTTAAATACTAAATAAAAATCTAAGTACGGTACTGTACATACAATGCAGTGGAAAATTTATTACCGGTATTTATATCAATATGGTGGAAGCATAAAGAGTTAGGAAAGAACAAAACCAATAGAGAGAACAATCTTAGCAAATGCTAAATATAAAAGATGTAGTAGAATGAAAAGCACATACAGTACCTGTACACGAGATGAGAAAACAATAAGTGATACTGTATGACTGGCCTACAGAAATTGGGACATACAGTATCAAAATTTTACGTTTATTTTCCAAACCCAATTTTCAGGGATGTCATGTACAGGGTAAAAGACTGACCCCGGGGTTGCCCCCAGTTACACATTTCAAAGGTAGAGTATTCAAAGTAACAAAATTAGCAAATTTAATCTTGATATATATATATATATATATATATATATATATATATATGCGCCTGTTAACGTCCTAGATACGTTCATAGAAACGTGACGTTAACCGAAATGGACGTTGTCCGAAAGTACAGAACTTATGGGATTTATTCTAATTGGTTCAAGGCACCCAACCCCTAAGTTTTCCATTTTACGACCATTTGGACCCAATATATATATATATATATATATATATATATATATATATATATATATATATATATATATATATATATATATATATATATATATATATATATATATATATATATAATGTTATGGTAAATATCATAGACACATAGGCATGGCTAAGTTTATTACAAAGTGATGAAAAGGATATGCTCAATACTGTACAATGGGTAGTCCACAAAACATGTAGCTGTGTGTTTCTTTATTTGAGTGCCCCGTCATAGGAGTCCGTTTTCTCTCGCTTCAGGACGCCTGAGTCCTCCGTTTTCTCTTAATCTTAGAGTGCAGCCGAGACTTCGTTATTCCTTAGTAATGACACAGAATTTGATATTGCAACTGGGGTTGCAATTGTTGAGGCAACTTAGATATGTCTGATTACAGTTGGAATATTCAACATCCATTGTGAGTGATGTTTAAAGCTACAACTGTCTTTATGGTTGGTAAAACTTGTCAAGTCTGTCAGTCTGAATGGCATGTGTTTGTACACCTGCTTTCATTCAGACCCACTTAAGATATATAATGTTATGGTAATTATCAGAAACACACATAGGTATGACTAGGGTGATGAAAAGGATACGCTCAATACTGTACGTACAGTGGATAGTCCACAAAACATGTAGCAAGCTATGTCTATCTTTATTTGAGTGCCCTGTCATAGGAGTCCGTTTTCTCTCGCTATGGGATTAAAGGCCAGATTTTCAAGAAATTCCCAGAATTCTACAATCAAGCCAACAGTAATAGGTAGGACAGGACACACTATTAAACACACATTAACATTCGACAGCACAACATCACACGCTATTGTTGGATAAGTGTCTTATTATTATTTGATATATATAAATACACTGAAGTTCACGAAAACCATTAATAATTTTTTCTTGCAAAGTATTATGATATTTTTCAAACATTTACTGTTAGTGGCTAGGCAAGGTTTTGTGTAGACTGATTTCTCATGTTTATTTAACCCTGACGGATGATTTTAATTTAATGAGTTCAGATATTACTGATTTGAAGATTTATGATAACGTTTCACATAATTCTGACGACACACTCAAGTCTGACACTGTACTAGTTACTGGTACTAGTGTGAATACTGAACACAATAGAATTAATAGATTCGCAAGAAATGCAAGCGCCCTTACTGCGAGACATTTCTGTTGAGAGTAGTGAACACCTAAGTGATCAATCGCATGACGATTTATGTCGTGGAACCCTAAGGTCAGGTAATATGTACAATACAACACCTGATTATGGGCAGTATACCTCTCAGTCTACAGAATCTCACAGTGTGTCAAAGATTACTTTCCCTCTTGCATCCACGCATCTTTCAGTTAGAGCTACCGGGTAAGTTGTCTAGCAACTCACTAACCATGGCTACATCTTATATCAGCATGTCATCTAACCAACCTAATATTGTTCAAGTATTGCCGCGCAGTGATCGCATCCGCAAGTTTAAGGCGGAGGATGACTATCATGTAACCACATTTTTAAGGTTATGTGAAGATGTAATGAAAAACATTCAAATAACAGGTGATAATGAACGCAAAGCATTTGTACGCGGTCACATCAAAGAAGGAAGTTATGCTAACCAACATTTGGATGCTAGTGGTCTTGCACATCCTACTTATGAGAAGTTTAAGAAGACTTTAATTGGTCTATTTGAATTAGGTGCACAGCAGGGTCACCTGAACTGGATGTTTAGGTGGGTTATCATCTGCCACGGACGATACGCGCTGAAGACACGATGAGATGTGTCTCCCTTGCTGGCAAGGTCTGTCAAGATATCTTAACCAATTTTCGAAGTTCACCCTGGGTGGATGAGCACAATAATGTCTAGACAGTTTTGCACAATTAATAGAGTTCCTTGGTTTCATTCTAACAATCCGTGACTTGGCATATACAGTCATGCGCCGGTTAATGTCCTAGATACGTTCTTGAAAACGTGATGTTAACCGAAATGGACGTTGTCCGATCATCACAAACTTTTTATTTATACTTACGTGTATGTGGAATACAGTGGTCCCTCGGTTAACGATTTACCTTCCATAAGATTCTTAACTTCGGTTAACGAGCAATCCCTCGATTAACGAGTTTTTTACGAGCCGACTTCAACATGTTTTCACTTGCATTTGGCGGTCCACCAGCTGTAGTATTAGTCCGCCAATACAGTAATCGGTTTTAGGGCTTAAATTCCTTACTATTTTAGTAAATATCAAGAAGTTTATACTATTCAATAATTTTAAAAGTTTAATATTAAGTTTTTTTTAGACATCTTAACAATTATTGAACATAATTGAAGGTAAAGAAACTAGTTTCTGGCGTGCCATCCAGCCTGTTAACACACCAGACAGGCGTTAGTCTCTCTCTGTTTTCAGTGGAGGTAACATCTTGCTTGAGACCTCTTCAACTAAATGCTTTTTTTCTGTGTTTCCAAGCAAATTATTGGTCATTTTGAAATATATTTTACATATTGACAATATATAATGCAGTGCAGTGTTGATTCAAAGAAGAAAATAATCTTGAAATACACCAAGAGAACTAAAATTTTATGGGTGAAATGGTGCCATGGGGTGACTTCTCTTCCACCCCAATGCCTTCTCTTCTTCCTTCTCCTCCACCCCCATTCTAATTCCCATCATCATCATCCAGGAGCCTTCTACATACACACCTCAAAGTAAGTGTACTTTTCTACTTTTTTTGTTGAAGCTAGGCAATTTTCGGTGAGCTGGAACCAATTACCCAAAAACCCATTGAAACAATGGTTTCGGTTAACGAGCAACCTGCTGGAACGGATTGTGCTCGTTAACCGAGGGACCACTGTACTATACTATACGTACATATGCACTTTTACTCTCAAATCACTGTAATATGATACAGGTGATTAATTTTTACCTCTTGTGCAAAATACATGACGTTTATATTAAAATTATTCACTGTTTTACAAGGATTCCAGCAACGCCAAGCAGATGGGGTAGAGAGAGGGTGGGAGCGAGCGAGGGGGGTGTGGGGGGAGGGGAGGTAGTACGTTTGACAGTTGGCACAGGCCCCGGTCTAACGCGTGTATATTTATCAGTTCTTAGGTGACTAAGCTTCTCTCTTATAAAAAGCCAGTGAAATGACCTGGGTGACTATAATTAACATAGCTGGGATTCTTGTAACATACTGATTAATTTGAATATAAACATGTTATAATTTGCACTAGACAAAACAATTTTAGTACCATAATCAAATTAGTACATGTGCACTCCAGCTTTGCACTAAGGTCATTTATTTATATTACATTTCTTTTAGTATGGCGTGTGCATGTAAATAGATGAAAATAAATGAAGAAATCTATGTAAGTCTACCCAAAAATAGTTGAAAAACTTTTTTATGAAATGTACTACAGTACTGTACAATAATGTAAATTTTTTTATCTCTTGAGCAAAATATATGATGTTTATATTCAAATTATTGGCTGCATTGCAAGGATTCCAGCAATGCAAATTATAATCTCCTAACTTTAGTCTGAGATATTATATAAGATAAAAACTGCAAGCCTTAAAGCCTGGCTGAGGGGAGGGAGGGGACTGCAGGAACCAGCCACACAACCCAGCGAGGGGTTGGGGGGGGTGGAGGTGATAAGTTTGAGGGGAAGGTCTCTGTGTTTATTTAACAGTCCTACTAAGCTTCTCTCATTTTAAAATGCCAGTGATATGACCAAGGAGAATATAATTAACATAGCTGGGATCCTTGTAAGATACTGTACTGATTTATTTGAATATAAACATGTTGTAATTCGCACTTGACATAACAATTTTAGTACCAAATTTGTACATGTGCTCTCCAGCTTTGCACTAAGGTTATTTATTTCTTTTAGCATGGTGTGTGCATGTAAATGGATGAAAATAAATGAAGAAATTTATGTAAATCTACCCAAAAATACAGTTGGAAAACTTTTTATAAAATGTACTACAGTATTGTACACTAATGCACTAAATTTTTTATATCTTGAGCAAAATATATGATGCTTATATTCAAATTAATCTCTGTCTTGCAAGGATTTCAGCAATGCAAATTATATTATCCTAACTTTAGTCTGAGATATTATATAAAATAAACAACCTTTAGTCTGAGATATTATATAAAATAAACAGAGAAATCACCAATCTTTTATCTTGAACACGAGGGTGGTGGGAAGAGGGGGGGGGGGACAGAATGTCTGGCGTTTATTTGTTTATTTATTTGAGATAAGATTTGACAGTTGGCGCTGGGTGAATAT